TCGCAAGACAAACTCAAGGTATCCCCTAAAGGGCTACCTTTCGTGACTTTCAGTCCGTCGGTATACATTTTTTCGAGCGATGGGGCGGTTGGAAAATACGCCTGCAAAGACCCATGTGCGAGGGAATTCTTTTCTTGAAGGTTTTCAGGTTTCAGTAAAGAGGCTTCCCAAGGACAGGCTGACAAGCAGGTGCAATTACAAGTGGACCCTTTAATAACCCTTAATGATCTACATGGCCAGTACAATGGTATTATGCTTCATGATGAACGAACATCTTGGTCGAGGCATGGCATTACCGCTTTGTCCCAGTGTCCTTGACTTCGCTCAGCAGCGACCGGCTTGCACTATGGATGCATGAGTTTGACGAGGCTGCACCCCTGAACTCGTTGGCCAAACGGCCAGCTCAAGGTTACGTGTCCGCCCAAAACAATAACGACGTGTCCAATTCCAGTACCCGACATTCCTGCATCCTGCAGGACCCTTCTTCCTGCTTCTGTCCTTCTTTTTCGTTCTTTTCCTCTTCTTTCTGTCTCTTCCTTCTTCTTCTTGCCTGTTCCTTCTTCCTCCAAAGCTAAATGTAATAAACAGATACGAACAACACTCACAACGTATCAATTCCAGTACCGAACTTTCCTGCATCTTGCATGACCCTTCTTCTACCTTCTTCCTCGTTCTTTTATTTTACCTTTCTTCTTCTTCTTGCTTGTTCCTTCCTTATCTTTCCTTCTTCTTCACCCATGCCATTGCATCCTTTACATCATGACAGACCCCGTCTGATTGCATCACTTGCATCCACAGCCTCCTCAAAGCTTACAATTTTGCTCAACTCATGTTCACCCAATTTTTGCCGGTTTTCCCCAATAAATTCTGATTTTTGACCTTCCAAAACTATTCATTTTGCAACGCCCCTCCCCCCTTGACCCCCAAATACTCGCTTCGTTCGCTATTCAGCCTTCAGCCTAGCCTACGGCTGGCTTTCGTAATCTAAAACATATAACTCAAACATTGACTTACAAATTGAATTCGCCTGGCCCGCATGCCGCAAAACCGCTTAGCAGGAGTCCACAGCTCGCCACTCAGAAACTCCGAGACATGCCACTTGAAGAGTATCGACAAGTGTGTTACTAAGCTACTCCATAGGCTGCACTGAGTGGGTTTCCGGTTTTATGTATATACCTCGGGGAGCTTCTTCTGCCACCTCCGCAGGGGGTGCTGGAGGAGCCGGCGGTGGAACTGGCCCCGCAAGTTCAGCCATGACCTCGCTGGGGTGCCAAGAAAGATTCATCTCTTGTATTTTAGCCTAGAAAACAGCTTGACACTTCCTATTCTCCCAGCAAGTTGCGGCAAGTTTGCAATGCTTGGCTACTGAAACATCTCAATATGCACGTCCATCTCTGCAACTTTGCCTGGCCTCGTGACCTCGCGTGCGATGCAGAAGGGAGGGCGACGGATGGCTAGAGCTGCGAGCTGCGGAGCACGTCCAGGATGGGCAGCATGGGTCCGATCTCAACTGAATGCCAGCTTGGTTCTGACCTACTCCAACTGACCCTTTTGGAGCCTCCAAAGAGAAATCCAATGAATTCATCGTCAAGGCACCCGGAGTCGAAGCCTTTTCCAGGTCACTGGAAGCTTCTCCTTCAAAGCAAGGGAAGTTCCAGAGGGGGTCGCGGACTCAGACCTACGCGGCTTTCTAGATCTTGGCAGGGAAGCACTAGAAGGACAATGGCCCCCCGCGAACATGGCCAGGAAGCAAACGGCTGGTCGATTCAGCACGAGTCCGGAACGAGTGCATTTGGACTTTGGACCAACCCAATCTGCACTAGTCATCCCAAAATGAGGTACGGTAGAACTATGAACATGTCCATACTCTATCATACTCTCACTTCTAACTGACTGCATTCCAGTGATGTGGCTGATGTGCCTCGCCAACGGCCAGGCAAGCCTCTGCGTCGTGTACACATACACTGAGATCCAAATACAAATACACGACAACCATACTGCTTGCCACCCAACATGGGATTCTAAGAGCCCTCTGCGAAAGAGTTGCAACAATAGCTCGAGCTGTCTACTATTCAAATTATTCTTGTGATATCTTGTGATCTTGGTTTGTCGGGCCTTTGGGGTGTTTCAGGCCAAGGTATAGATTGACGCATTTTTTCTGGTGGTTCTCTCTTCGGAACAGCGGAGATTGGGAACAAAGAGGGCGCTGGTGCCATAGGGCGAAGCAGACCAAGGTCTGCCAATGGTCTCAGACCGTCAATTTTGGTTGCTGCAATTGCCAATTGACCTGAGAAAAATGTCAAGTTGCGTGGAACGTTTGCATCAATGGTACATACTTACACTTGTGGCCGTGGCTATCTGCAACCGCTTCTGGGTATCATTGCTAGGCCATTCTAAGCTACAGTAGCAAGTGGCCAAAGCTGGCATGAGCAGTTGCACAAGCCACCGACACACCGAATACAGCTCGTGCTTGGGAGGCCCTGCCCACGCCGAAACTCTGGGCCTCCTCCCAGTCAGCGCAAACTTTCACTAAGGCTTCCTTGAAACTCCTGGCCAGGCTGCTTCGACAAACGTGTCGCCCCCGGAGGGCTCGGCGCCACGTGGGGACCCCTGTTGGCACCACACCATGGGTGCAAGGACCTCTTCTTGGCAGATTGAGGGGTAACAGGGGGCTCTTTTGGCGTGGGGTGTGACCGATGAGGTGCTGCAGGAGAGCCAAACAGATTTGGTTGCAAAGGAAGAGGACCTACGACCTTTAGCAGCTGCCGCAACAAAAGCCAGCAACGACGTGCAAACAACGAGTAAATCGGACATTCCGGCGTGATTCGATGCAGGTTTTCCTGATTGATGAGTGCAAACAAATTCACAAGTCCATTCAATCCAAAGGAAACCACTTTAAACACAGAATGCTTGGCTCCTCGACACACCCACTTTTACAAGCTGTATTTGTTCTGGCCCACCCCGCTATCTTTGAGACCAATGGACTTGCGGCCTGACAGACATGTCACCGCGCGCGGGAAAGGTAAAGCCGTCGCTAACCTGCCAGCAGTGCACTGGAATTGCTGTTGGAGAGGGCTTGGTTCACATGCTACTCGTGAAAGCAACCCACAGAGGCTCTCCAATACTGAGATCTGACAAGCTATTGTGGACTCCAAGGAACATGCTCTCAACTTCGGTACTGCGTGCCACACATCTCAAAGGTGTCTCTTGGCTTCGGCCGCTTGGCTTCGGTACGTGGAATTGGGTCCGCATGTCCTGATGGGTTGCCAGTCTCCAACTGAAGGCACTTGGTAGATGCACTATGAATCAGCAAACATCCAAAACTTCCCTTGCCGCGCCATCCAAATGTGTTATCCATGCTCTCTCCTCAAAAAATAACACATCATATGCCAAAAGATGCGTCGTTCTTATGGTCGGCAGAACGGCACACCCCTCAGATCTGTCAGGATCCGTTCCATCCGTTCCGAGAAACCATCCGTTCCGGCCTTGTGATTCCCATTCTCGTAGGTGTACCGTGAGACCTACGAGGAATTCGCTCCCGGCAGACCATGCACTGCAATGAGGTGAGGGATTCCAAAGTCTTCAAATCAGCTCCTTCATCTGAGAGACTTTCTTTCTGCATGTGAGATGATTATGACCCGGAGCATCCTGTGCCAAGCCCGACATCGTCATGTCCAAGGCCGCATGAACAAAAACACAACCTCTGAATCAATAACCTGGAAATACCTGGAATATCCGCAAAATAATCATTGACCCTCCATGTGCAAGCGAAGCCACTGAGCATCAGTGAGCTACTATGAAATTATGAGCTATTCAGCTATTCGTTCAGCACGCCACCACATTTGCTGACTGCTTGCCGGTGCGGTCCACCTTCAGCATCGACTCGTCGGGGCCACACGGCGCACCGTGGCCCACGAAGACGTAATCGATCTCCTGAAAGCCAGCCTGAAGGTGAACGCCCACGGACTACGGGTGGAACGCATAGAACTGCGTTCTTGTTTGAAGAACTCAAACAATGACAACCACCGTCGGTCCGTGAAGTGTACAAACCGTATAATGAAGTGATGATGGATGCAATTCCGGGCTGTCGCTGCCTGCATGTTGACCAGCTAAAATTCCAATATATATATATACAGTATATCATAGTATATCCCTTTTCGAGGTATATCAAATAGTTCTATAGTTCGAACTAGGTTGAACTATAGGATGTGTTCTGATTGTTTCTGATATTCCACCGGCGTCTTGGCCCCGGTTGCGGGCTTGAAAAAGCGGATATTTACTTTGGGCCGGTTGCGGATGTTTGTGTGGCTCACAGACGATATAAGGTAAGTTGAACTACCGACCAAGCACGAGGTTGCAGGTATTGAGCCAACATGAACATCAGTGAAACAAGTTGAACTGGGCGGCTTCGCCTTCTTATCCCTTGTTCCCACGGCACATCAGCAACGGTGCACATTGCATATCGCATCTATGTGTATCTATATGATCTATGATCTATCCGTCTATAAATTGGTATGTGCAGCATGTGCATTTGCAAACGTATCCTTCTATGACCTTCAATATATCTAATATATCTGTGTCACATATATAGTCTTCAAAACCTGAAGCGCTATGAATGACTTGCACACAAGAGAAATCAACCGAACGAAACGCGCACCCACGATGCCTGCCGCAGTGTTCGAGTCTCATCTTTGAACATCGCTGGCCTTGGTGCGCAAGTGCTGTTTTCGTCCCACGGCCGTGCGACGGACACATTGTAGTCCGACTCACTGACATGGAAGTGTCAGAAGGATGAACGTGGCCCCTGCGAAGCCTGTTTTTTCCTATTCCTAGAGATCGGTGTTTCAGCTTCCACGATAATGAGACGAAGGGTAGTTGAATGTCTTAGTGCATCAGTTGATTTGGCATCGCGTTCGTGTTCGGTGTTCGTGTTTCGTCTGTACTGATGGGGGCCACATGGTCTCGATGACTTCGTGCCACGAAGCGTGCTTTCTTCCCGGCAAATGTCTGGTATGATGTCGTGCTTGGAATTCCAGGTGAAACAGGTGGCATCTTTGGCTCTGTTAACGGTCAAGCAGCCTGCCTTCTTTCTCCAAAAGTCCTGTCTAGCTCTTGAAAAAGGCTTGGACCAACATTGGAAGTGAAACACTGAAGAGCACGAGCCTCTGAGTACTCTGTATATACATTGGTTTGACCTAGCCTATAGTCAAAAAAATAGTCTAGTCTTGCATGTCTATGCTCGCTTTATCTGGAAAGTGATGTCACTTGTCTTCGGACTTCAGGCGCAAGGCAGCCACACTACCATCTTGTTCTGCCAAAAATCTCAATCAGTAAAGAGCTCATCAGGCTTCGAGAAGTACTTCACCTTCTGATCGATGGGCACACAGACTGAGAGCACACCCTGAAGTTTATCCCATTTCGCATTGCCCGCATCTTTTCGGACCTCAGCGCGGGTCGTGCTGGACAAGGTCGGATCAAGCAAATTAATGATGTCTGTTCAGGCGCTGTTTTCCTTATGTTTCGATGGTCCTCCAGCACATTTCAAGATCCAGGCTCGCCTATCGATGCCTCAGGACTGAAACGAGGCTGCAAAGGAGAGAAAGGTACACTCTCACTGTTCAGCCTGCGGTCGAGTCAGCCATCACTGTGGTCGACTCTGGAGACTCAGTGAGTCTTGGAATCTGACCCTCCTTTTAGATGGGCCAATTCGGCTTTCTGGTTGGCAACCAGGCTTTCAAGCACACACGCTTGAAATGAGGAAGGGCATGGTTCTTCCAGGTGGCCCATCAATTTACAAAGTATCACTCAGAACTTGAACTGAACAGTATATGATATGTTTATAATATAATATATTGTTAGTATTTTTGGCTTGCCTGATTGGACCATCCGATCCTCAATGCACAGTCAGCTTAAGACATCAACATTCAACTCCTCACAGTCCAGAACTGGTGACCTTCTTTCTTAACCCAATGGATCTTTACTGGAACGTCAACCTTTCACCATATACTCTTCGGCATTGGACGCACGGCGAGTACTTCCTCCGCCAGGCGAGTACGTCCAAGGCCTGTGGCCGCCACCCTTCTTCATATTCCCAAACAAAGAAGACACGACCCCAACTCCTTTTGGGGAGCTCGAAAGTCACCACGTCCACTTTCGGCACTTCCTTGCTGTTTCCCTTGCCAGGCAGCTTTATGAGGCAGCGCGACATTGAGCTGATGTTTGGTGGCTTGCAGCAGCAAACGGTCTTCCAGAACATCTACTGAGATATCTCTGAGCTGCTCTCCTGGCAAACCCAAAGGATCCACGAACGACATAATATCCACGGTCACTGGTCACCCTGTATTTATATAATTACAGATTACAACTTAGATATTCATGTCTATCATGGAGCCCTTTCCAAATTATCCAAAGTCTATCTGTCCATCTGCTGAGGGATGACTAGAAACAAATTGTTGAGGGAAACATGGGTGGCAGGATCCGTCATTGACCTTTGTGTGTCGGGGACCAGTTGCCGTGCCAGGGTGGAAACTAGTATATGTTTATATACCTTAATTGACTTGGGCCGGAAGAAAGGCATCAGGTACATCACGGTACACCTCTTGGTCCATTGCGTCTCTAATTGTTTGTTCATCGTGAAGAGCTCCACCAGCATCGAATCTCCATACGGTCCATACGGGATGGTTCGGACGAAGGTTCCGCTCCAAAAGCTCCAATGGACCGCTGGTGGTGGCCGCTGGTGGCCTATGACTTTTGGCGAAAAACCACGGGCCTGGAAGCCAAACTTTGATGAGCAGCTCTTGACACCGATCGCTCGAGGGATCCATTTCTTGCCTCGGACGTTCGAAAGCCGGAACGATGTAAGTGATTGAAACAGTCTGATACACTGTGACTTAAAGTGGCATTGCATTGAACTTCGTGCAGTGCTACACGATTGCTGGACTGAACTATATTAGTTCAAACGAGTACAAATTGCAATTGCATAATTACCTCAAAATATCTTAAGTATATGTAGTGCTCCGATTAAGCTTGGGCAAGTTGCAAATTCAAGTAGGCATCTGATGCTTGTAGCTTTTGCCGCGGTAGTATCTCATACTTCCTTGGATGAGCAGGGCCTTGCATACGACTTACACAAGCAATGCGTTGCCCTCTGAACCCCACATGTGGTGCCAATGAGCGACCTTCCCAAGCAGTTGGAAAGAACCATGCTTGCAACATCCCCGTTGAAAGCAGTTGGGGGAGGGGTTGGGGGCGAGCAGGGGGACTAAGGGGACCAGGTTTGGAGTCAAAAAGCTCTGACCCAAGTTGCTTTGCCATCTACAAAATTGATGTACCAGAGTGGGCGTGTACAAAATGATGATGCCTCAAGATTGCTATCTTATGCTTACAGGTGCATAGCCATCCATACAGCGAAGTGATTTCTCTACAAAAATGGTGTTCTGTAGGTGCCAAAAACTGCCTCGTTACAAAATGGCACCTCTGTAAGGGCCTCAAGCTCTCCCTTTTTGTAGAGAAAATTTCAACGGGGATCTTGCAACGGTGATTTTTGCTACTGGGAGCCGGGCGCCCCACTTTTTTCACCCAGTGGCGGGATGGCACGATCATCGCCTTCGCTCTTCACCACCACACCAGAGGCCGCTTTGAATTCGTCAGCTTGCCAAATAGCCTTCTCATCCTGCTCAGCCAAGCAAACGAAGCACATTTAATCGAATCTAATAAACACACCGCAAAAAGAACCGCCTATGATTCCAATGTGCACCTTCAACACATCTGATGTCGGATTCTCCATTGGAACCCCTCCTTCTTCTTCGGCTGTCTCACTGCTACTTTCATGTTCGGCGGAGCTTGACTCGGCTTCCCTCCAGCCATGGCGGCAGGATGTAACCTCGACTGAAATCCAAAAAACACGAGGAAAAGCACAGCGAGGTGATATGGTGCAGCTTGATATGGCCTGCACGTAAACATCGAGAACCAAGCGGCTTTCCTAGCTTGAGCCAAGGGAGCTTGAGCCAAGGGTCCATTTCTAAGCTTTTTCAACAGACCGTGAATCGCATGTGTCTCCGCATTGCAATGTGGTTTGGCAGTCATCCATGGAATCACAACGAACAGAACTTGCCTGCCTTTTGACCCCCCTGCTAAGCATTGAGCCGTTAGTGGTTTAGTATGGTTCAGTAAAGTAACCATCCAAAGCCGGGGTGAAGGTGGTGTCGAGAAGGTGCTCATAAGGACGGTGTGCACGTTCTGCCAAGTCACGAGGGAGGCTTGCTCCGCTCATCTTGCTCCTCTTCCCTTCCCACGCCCAGCAGGTCCATCAAGCCGTGCATCTGATCGGCTGTGACTCCAGGTCCCGTGGGAGCCGCATAGCCATCCAAGGAGAGTGCCATGGCCAAGGTCCCGTGGGTCGCGCCGCCCACGCCACGGTGGAGACTTGAGACTGATTGAGACGGTAGAGGATGATCAAACACACCACTCTTTGGACGTCCCCCAGGATTGCAACAGTTATCACGGTCAAACAGTTTTTTGGTGTGCGGCTCTCTTGCATTGGACATATTTGTGAGTCCCCTATCGTTTCCCACTGTTTTGGACTCTAGTTAAAGGGTATCGTTGTTTTGTGAGCCTCCTATCGTTTGCCGGGGCTTGGAGCATGCCACGATATGAAGCTTATATATACAATTGCAAGCATCGCGCATATTGAAAGCACTTCATAGTACCTCATAATATGCAAACGTTTTGGAAACAGGTGTTGCCAGAGCTGTCAGCGGATCAGGACCTGAGGTCAAGTGCATCTCGGGTCCGGGTAACATCAAGGATCCTTTCTACGTTCGTTGTCAACTTCGAACCGACTCAACGGTCGGCCTCACGAGGTCGGTCCCGACCCCTCTCACCGCCGAGAAGCGCGTGCTGTGACTTGGAGAGGTGGAGATCTGAAGAGATCCCCAAGACCCCCGCGATGCGTGCCTGCCGATATTGAGCGTGCCTGTGTGTGTGTGCCTTTCGAGTGAGTCGGCAAACGAACATCGGAAAGGGGGTGGTGGGGGTCTTGTGTTTGGTGGGTCTCTGGATGTGCAGTAGCAGTAACACATTCAGTACGGGTGTCATCCCTCCGACGGGACGAACATGGGAGGACTGTCTTCGACCGGCTGACCAGGTCTGCCGCACATCTCGACCGGCTGGGGGCGAAGCCGCGAGACCGGCTGACCGACCAAAACGCTGGCCGTGTTTTCACTGGTCTTCACGAGACACTAAGTCAGTCCTCATGGGCCTCGGGGGAAGCCGAGTCCTCTTTGGTCAAGAGATGTCAGTCAAGAAGAAACACAGATTTCAGAAACAATTAATTCACGCAACCAATACCAAAAAGATCCAAAAAGAATCCCAAAAACAGTCAATCGCATGGGTGTTTGAATCTCCATGGATGGAGACACCAACGGTACGAGAGCGTCAAGAAATCTGAGAAAAAAGAAACAAGCACAAAACTGATTCACTACCAGTAATTTCAGGTGTTGCAGATCTCATCCATCAATGAATCAACAGTAGTGCAGTGAATTGGAAGTGTACAGTCTCTATATATATATAGATATATTGTTTTAATATATATATATATATACTTAATATTAATGTATAGATATGATTATCGTATATGGGCATGGGGAAAACAGCTGGAATTATGTGAGTATGGCATTGTATGGCCTCATCTCCATTGCCTAACGTCAAGTTTGTGCATCCTCTAGGGATAGTCCTTGCTCCTCCAGGCAGAAAGCTTTTTGATCCAGGGGTTCGCATTCGTATGGTTTCTGGTGTTCACTCGCTTATCGTTCACATCAGGATCACGATCGCGGCTCAGCATGAAACATTCCCATGGCCCATGAGCAAATCTCAAAGAGCAGTTCGCTTCTTTGGTTCCAAAAAATCGACTCATTCATTTGGCAATGTAGGCTTCAAACTCTAGCGCGTGGGTTGATTACCCGCTGCTTTCTTGCGACCAAAGTCGGCAACATGCGGCAACGCATTGCGCATCACGTTCACCGGGAAATTCACACACTATTCAATACCGTGCAAGCCTATGAGAAAACACACGGCTCTGAACAATAAATAATCCTCTTGTTCCTGGCAGTGTCAGCTCACGGAATTGAAGCAATTGGCTTTCGTGTGGGACTCAGGTCCCTGCTATTGACCCCCACAAAAGAAGCCCAACAAACATCAACAAACACACCATTTCTGGCAAAACACAAAGCAAATCACCGGGGGATCAAGGACCGAAGGAGTCGCCCCTTTGAGGCGATTCCTTCAGCGAGGATGAACCTTTTCTGGAGATCCGTTGGGGCTCCCTCGAACAGCGGCCACATGGACTGAGTTGGGCGATGTGGGGAACTAAGAGGCAAGCAGTTGACCTCCAAACCCTATGGTCGATCATGGAGGTGTGGGAACCCTCCCTTTGGATCTCACTTGTCCAGGTTGACAATTCGTTAAGAAACGATTCATTTAAAACATTGAAGCCACTGAGGCTCTACTGATGGCTAGAAGGGCATGGGTCGCACAAACAACTTGTCTTTATCTGGCTCGTCACAGTTGGGAATTCAAAGGCAATCAGGGCAACCGCCTATGAACATGCAACCTTCTATCTGCTTCGTCTCGGCATCTGCAGATTATATAGTAACTTCTAAAGCCTCTGACCCATACCAACATCGCCAAAATTCACATATATCCACTCAAACCACCGCCGACGTCTTTGCTCTCATGTAGGTGCCACTTGGTTCATACGCGCAGGAGGTTGAGAGGCCATTGACACCAATGGAAGATCCGTGACCTTCACTGATGTCTGGCAAAAGGTGGAGAGAGGCTACAAAATCAGGGTGCCTTCACCACTCCCTAAGGCCTCCACAACCGAATTGGTCTCAGACTGGTCTGGCGCGAGACCAACTTTTGGGCCTCTGGATGCTCTGATTGAAGGGGAGGCTCTGTGATAGGCTCATAGGTTGTAAGTACTGTTGTAAGTGTATTTGTTCATCTTTTTCCATATGTTTCTCGTCCAAGGCCGGTCCAAGGTCCTGTCCCATAGCCTGTTTCCGGCTGGACCAAGTGGCTTCCCTGCACAAGGTTGCACTATTGTTGAGCTCCTTGACGAAGCAGCGGGCATAGACCACCGTGTTCGCCATCACATTGGCATAATCGCGGACAACCTGGTGAGGGACGTATATTGCAATTTGCAAGTAAGCCCGGGAGTTCCAATTACCTCGCTAGAAGGTTTGGGATGGGTTGGAGGGTCTAAGAGGTGTTTGATTGCTTTTGAAGGTTGTTTTGGAGTCCTGAGAGGAGAATCCTTCCATTTTCTTGTGTCTCCCTTCTCAATTGCACGTGATGCTTCACAAGGGGTCGAGTGAGGGAATTGGGACGACACTCACAAGCTTGGTCAATACTAGCTGCCGAGACAGGAGGTTCAAGAAAAGCAAGGTCAACATCTTGCAACAGTAGACCGCAACATCAGTTGCCTCTTGCCTTATGCCATATGACCTGGCAAACTCAGTAGGTTGCTGCAACGGCACAGCATTGCGAAAACAGTGCTGCAACATGCGACTCTAACAGCAAATGGATTTCAAAGACCAGTGAAGGTCCCCCCAGCGACTCAACGTGGCAAAAGCAACATCCAACTGCATGGCCCTCCTCAGCCTCAGAACCGAGAACCTCAGAAGCCCCGAGGGGGTGAATCCCATCACCCCCGTGCAGCATTCATGCCAAGTTGGCACCAAAGGGAGGTCAATAACCAACAGCGAGAAACAAACAAAATGTGGGTCTAACCGTAACTTGTTCTGGCTTGGGTGTTTTCCTTTGGAACAGCCGAAGGATTTCCCAGTCAGTCAGGGCACGAAATAGAACTGCTCCGTGGAGACCAGCAAAGCTTTGCTTTCCAGCACGGCCTTGAAGCAACATCACCCACTTTTTTAATTTCCATATTTCCATGTATCACCAAAACATCTATATTAAACCCGCAACCTGGGGGGACAAGAGTTTACATGACTTCTTCAATTTCTTTCATGCAATCATTTTCGGTGAACTGACAGAATACTCAACTTAAGATAGGAGGGGGTAAACGAAAAGCAGCTAGCAGGTTTATTGATCTAGCTTTGTATTACCTAATATTGGATTCCGGGCGTTTTTTTGCACGCTGCCAGTTTCCCGGGTATCATGCATTTTGCTAAAGTAAGAAGAACTCAGCAGGGACAAGAAGGGAGTACCCAACATATTTTGAGATTTCCTCGTCGCGTGCAGAAGGGGGCACATACACCCTGGCCGGGGACGTTTCACGAATCAGTTCTGTCCACCAATATTTATCTTCGTTCGGTGTGCGCATTGCCAACATTTACACGTTGATGAAGATCCTGCTTGGCTTGGGACATTCCAAACCTTTCAAACATCTCAATGTCAAGTGAAGTGCCATGATTAGTTTGTCTAATTATTAGGTTTTGTTGCTTCATCCACACAAAACAACAAGATTAACAGAATGAACGTTTTAAAATGCCACATACTGCCTGGAGGTGACCTTGATATCTCCATCCTGACACCCACAGGGCTGGCTCGGCAATGTACTCTCCAGCTTCGAGCATGGTCCTGACAAACATTGACGAATCTGTCCGCCAACGACCTAAACGAGTAGTCCCAACAAGTAGGCAAAACCGCAGCAACCCCCAGTAACGCCAGTTGCGGACGGACACTACATTAAACAGCCCTGATAGGGGGTTCTGCCAAAGGCCATCTATTCCGGCTGGTTGGACTGTTTGGGCCCGTTGCGACGCAGGTTCTCGGAAACCAGGTGTCTGAGCCATGTCAGGTCTGCGGGAAGAGCTTCTCGATGGCAAAGCTGGTGCAAGGCCAAAACCAAACAAATCAGCAATGCTTTGGGCACTTACCGTTCTGGGCCTTGCTGCTTCAGGCACCTAACATGTGAAATTCAAAAGCAAATGGGCATGTCGGAATGTACCAATAAAAAAAGAGGGTGGGTGTGCTTGGGAGAGCACACACTAGCTCAAAACCCTTAGAAAACACTGTAAATACCGTGCAAATTTTCAAAAACTGCTCTGAGAACTAGGCGAAACGCATTTTTTTTGATCTGTCTGTGCCCAGTCTCCATGTCCAATGTCAATGACAACAAATAACAGCTCTTCGTCTGCCCACTATCAATGTGCAACACCAATGATAAATATCATCAGGTAAATCTCTCTCTGCCCACAATGAATGTAGCATCATGAGCGAATGAAAATATAATACTATACATCTCTAGATTCAATAGCTTTCCTCTGGATCTCTGGGAAAGTAGATTTCCTAGATTTGTGTATTTTCATTGAAGGAAAGCATTTGAAAGAAACACTTACATACATACGTATAGCTGTTTTAAAATACCATGACTATTTGCAGAGATCCAGAGGAAAGCTTTTGAAATGAAAACTTTATATTTTTTCACAGAAGTGATCAGATCTAGAGGGAACCTTTTGAATTAGAAGTTTGTACATAAAGCAGTTTTAATATAGCAATGATTATTCCAATAAGGGATTACTTTAAACAAATACTATCTACTCAAAAACATAGTTTGTGTCTTATTCCCAGCACTCCTAGGGCAAAAAACACTGTAAAATATAGGGTTTTGTAACATGTGTGTTCTTAAACTAACTAAACTGGAATTAAAATAGAATTAGGCAAACTTAAATTAGAAGATTTCAATCAAGATCCGTTTAACATTGATTGTGGAATTTGCTATTTATTAGATATTAGATTGCAATAACAATCATTTCCAAGTTCTCTTTAAAACTCATTGTGGAAACTAGTTCTTACAATTAGATTTTAGTTAAAGTCCTTTTCAAAGTTAGTGGTGGCTTTGATTTAATATCAGATTGTGCTTAAAGTCAATTTAAGATCAATTGTGGAAATTGTGATGCTTAACTAACTTGAATTGATTTTGTATCTGTTTGCTCCCCACTACAAGGCTACTTCAAATAAAAGGACTTTAACTAACATCTAATTATAAGAATTGATTTCCACCATTAACTGTTGACTGAAAGTTAATTTTCACAATCAATTCTAAAAGGGTCTTGATTGATATCCAATACACAAGCAATTCAATCAAATTATGTTGAAAAGAACTTAAATTAAAATCTAAACAACAAGCAATTTCCACAATGATTTTGAAAAGGACATTAATTGACATTTAAGTAATGCCTAATTTCTACAATGAAATATAATAGGATTTTAATGGAAATCTAATTCAAAATCAATTGCCACAATGATCTTGAAAAGGCATTTAATCGAAGTTGAATTACACATTAATTTTTCTATAATTAATCTTGAAGAATGTTAATTGAAATCTAATATAAACATCAATTTCCCCAATGATTTTGACAATGATATAAATGAAACTTAGTTTGTAAAACATCTACAATTAATCTTAAACCCATTTTTAATAGAAAGCTAATGATACATCAACTTCCACCAATAATTCTGAAAGCGTTTTAATTGAAGTCTAATACCAAAATCAATTGAAATCCAATTTAACATCAAATTCCACCGTTAAACTTAAATGAAGCAAAAACACTGTGTTTTACAGTGATTTCTTGCAAAATCCTCTCCAAAATTGAGGTTTTGAGCTATTTTTTTAGCAATTTTGTGAGATCCTTGATCAAAAAATAGCTCAAAACCTCAATTTTGGAGAGGATTTTGCAAGAAATCACTGTAAAACACAGTGTTTTTGCATCAATTTTTGCATGAAAAACACCTTCCCAGGAGCACCCGTTCTGTAAAAAAACCGGCGAACGGTAAGACCTCGGGTAAGTTGCCAAGTGCGAACTGGAGAGAAGTGTTGAAAGTTTTCAGTGACTACTCTTGGCGGAGTTTTGGAACATTTGTGGGCTTGCTCAGATTGTCTCAGGGGAACTAGGTTAATTTACCTCCTTTTCCGAGTGCCTGATAGCTCGCCGTTAATTTGGAAATAGACCAAAAGTCCTGTCTTTCATGTCTTTTCCCACTTGCCAGCTGCGGGTCTCCATTTATGAAAGGTGCCAGTTGCCAGCTGAAGCCGATGCATGCACGGAACCGCATACCATATAGGGAGTGCCGCTTGGTCTGGGCCGTTGCGGGCCCGCGCAGGATAGGGAACTCCAGCCGTGTGTGGGCACACACAGGCCCGAAAAGCAAAGAGCTCCAGTTAGGTCTGGGCACGCAAGGGCATGAACAGGATATGGAGCGCCAGCCTGGTCAAGGCACGCACGTACCAGCAGACCAAGCGCTAGCACGGTCCGGGCACACACTGACCTGAACACATAGCATTCCAAATAGAATGCCCGAAAACATGCCAGAACAAAAACACAGTCAGAAGATATGCAAGTTAGAATGCCGGAAGATATGCCAAATAGAGTCAGAGTGTCATAAAGGATGTCAGAAGGTATGCCCGTTAAAATGTCAGACGCTTTGGCACATAGCATGTCATTATACATGCCAGATGGAATGCGAAGGATGTCAGAAGATATGCAATTAGAATGCCTGCATCATTGCCATATAGAATGGCCAAATCATATGCCAGAAAGTATGTTAGAACATATGCGGGAACAAGTGGCAGGCTTGATGCAATAATACATGTCGGAATAAATGGCAGAACACAGATCAAAGCCGAAGCCAAGCCGCATGTACCAACATATGCCACAGTGGTGCCGGAGCGCATGTCAGAAGTGAATGCCAAAAAATATGTTGGAACGCGTGTCAATGTCAGGGCCAACAATAGCGTGGGAACTCATTCCAGAACAATTCCCAACTTTTTTGAATATGTTATATAAGATGTGCCAGAACACATATCAAATCATACCAGACTTGATTCCAGAACAAGTGTCAGAACATTTGTCAATGCACAGTTCAGGTATATCTGTCAATACGTGTGCCCTGCCTTCTTCCAAATTGTCGATCAGGGTGGGAATCAGTCGAACTAAAGTAAGATTCCTGTGTGCAAAAGTTGTCCTTTTGAACTTAATGCTTTCACTTGTTTCCAATACTTGGGAAAATTGAGGAAAATGACCTGACCACGTCTGTCTGAACTATAAGTTGTTTGCGTGAACAGCTGCCGAATCATGTCGGGCACCAGTCGGAAATTTGGACATTGACAATTTTTCTGAATTCCCGAAATTGTTTGTTTTTCTCATACTTCGACTTGCATTCGGACACGAACAATTGCTGAATGTTCTCACATAATTTCTGATTTGTATTGTTAGCACGGCCAAGGTACTTTGGGTGGGCTTTGGAAAGGACGTGGGTAGAAATAAATGCCCAAACCTGCTCCCAACAAATACATCCCTTGAATCTTGTTGGCGGTGTTAAAGATCGTGTCACCGGCCAGCAAATAGAGCTCGGATACAGCTTGACTGCCTCAGCGAAGTCCAGCATTCTTCAAGTGAAGAAATTACTTCAAGGACTTTGGAGCACTTAGGTTGGAGGCCATCGCTACTAGGTTGGAGGCCATCGCTAGTCGGTTGGAGGCCATCGCTATTATATAGGTTCCTTGAAAGTTCTCTTTGCACTGATTTGAGACTGATGCAGTTGCGACTTTCGTGGCTTCAACTCCCTACATTTGAAGGACCGGAAAGGCACTCTGTAAATGTGAAAGGCACCAAGACTTCGTTGAGAGACGAGCTGCAAAGGTTCAACTCCATCGAAAGGTCTTGAAGGCCGATATCCTTGAACAACGCATGATGGTGAAGAATCGGGCTACGTCCTCAAGGCCAAATTCTGCATCCACAGAATAACTATGTCAGTCATACTATATCTCTATGCACCCATTCCTCCACCCATTCAGTCAATCCAGCAAAGAAAGAACCGGGTCTGCAGGCTGTCACTTTGCTATTCCCCTTTCCCCTCTCTCTCTCTCTCATGTTCAAAGCAAATGCCGTTAAAGGAATGCAACTGGGGACATGTATGGAACAAACCCAAGGACATCTAAAAACGCGTGTGTTAGGATATGTTGTGTAATATATTTTCTCCGGCGAAACGTGCTTTAAGGCGTGTTATAATGCACATTGACAGGTAGCCAGTATTCAGCGTAAAACAAACAAACAGTCATTTCATTTCACTGGTCACCAGCCAACTGGCATCTCCTTCTTGAAAAAGTTCTCGAACCATCCCCTCGGGCAAATTCTGCAAGAGCGGCATGTGGCTTTGGAGCTCGTTCCGGGTGTGCTCTCGTTGCACATAACGCTTGATCTGCATAGTGTAGGCATAAGAGATGCCATGAGTTCCACAATACCTGCGAACTGACTGGAGGATATCCCTCATCTGCACCCTCTGTCGATTGATCTCAGCCATCCTGTTGGTGATGAAGCTCACCTCAAATTGGCTTCATCTGTGCTGGCTTCAACTGCTTCTTCAGACCGAGTTCTGTGAATCTGAAAGCCTTCGACCAGTTGATCTGAAATCACTCCCTATGATTACCCACCCTGATTGGAGCATGTGTGCGGTCGCATTTCGCTCCATTTCACTTTGCCTCCTCAAACAAGTTAAACCCGGCCCGCCAAGTGATTAGCCTCAGGTTTTGCGGGGCCCTCAGGTCAGGAACTGGTATGAAGTAAGAAATGTGATGAAGTGATTCATTCATAACACCCCAACATGTCCGACGTGACTCTTTTTCTGTTCGCTTTTTGAGGCGCCATCATGAGGTGCCCATGATACTGATGATATCGATGCGCCATGAACGAGCTGGGGCAACGTATCGGCAGGATAAAGGGCCCATGAACGGGCTGTCAATATCTGTAATGCCTTTTGAGATGAGATATTTCCATGCCAGCACAACAGGTCCAAACTCTGTTAGGTGTTCTTGTTTCTTTCGACGTACGGCAGCCTTTGCTCGTTCCAGGCCTTGAGATCCACCAGTTGCGCAACATGGTCTTTTCGCAAATGGTCCTTTTGCGTCTCATCAAACATCATCCAACTGTTTCGGGTCCTCATCACCTAGTTGAGTTTAAACATATCTGATTCTTCAGGTACCCTTCCCACCTGTTCTTGCACTTCTTCTGAACACCTACTTCACTGCTCGCGCACACAGTGTCTGCCACCTATCCACCTCCTATGAAAACAACTGTATAAATCTATAACTTTTCTTGTGCCCCTTACTTCTGCCTTGCCTGACCCCCACGACACGCCCAAACTCACACACTCCCCAGTCCCTACAGTCCCTACACGTCTCAAAACCACAAACGCTATGGCCGAATCCCAAACATCTTCAGTCCCCCCTCTTCCTTGCCTTACTAAACAATCCACAGGCCAAGACGGAACAGTCTCATCATATCTCAAGGCACGAAGAGAGAGCTTGACATCAGGGTCGCTGCAGTGGCAAAGATGCCCAACCATCTCTCAGCCGCAGTTTCCAACTCTACGATGGTCCTCCTTGCGGAGAAAAAAGGGGTAAACACACGTGAGGTGATTACCGGTTTAGGGGGGAGGCACGTCAGGTCGAATGTTCAGTCTTTTGGGGTCCGTCAGGCGGCGTTAAAGACCCCCATTTTGCCTCTGTACGTTGTGCCTTGACAACGGTTTGAAGTCAGAAAACGCAAAGAAATGCAGCAAACAGCGAATCGTCCGTTTGAAGATCTAATCCAGTGATTTGTTCCGCACAATGGCGGAACAACACATAATCTTTGGTGTGGCCTCCTACCCTCCTACAGTGATCTGGGATGGATACAGTGGGATACAGGGTGATCTAGTGACGCAGTAGCATGAGCATACTGTACTGAAATAACCATGCCACTAATAAGAGGGAAGCACACTTAAACAAAGTGTGCTTGAATCAAGCCCTGCTTGATTCATGGACAGGTCAATCATTTGACCTCCCATCCCTAAACAGGATGCTGGTTGCAATGTACCTAACTATATATCAGCAGTTGAGACTGTGTGACTTGCAGGTCAATGGGCATGGGTTTTCTATGGTTTTCTTACCGGTTTCAAGAACAAACAAATTTTCCCAAGATATCCCAAGGACTGAAGTGGAGAACAGTCTACCAGGTCCACCACGTGTAGACAGAACTCGACACCCATCAGGCCCATGGTCCAGAGCTCGTCTGCATGCATCCATCCTTCATGGCATTCTTCACAAAACCCCCACGAAGAGCAACGTGACCACAGTACACCATGTTTTGGTCATTTGGCACCACAAAAAAACACAAAGGCCCTAAGGCTCTCCAATGCTAAACTCAGTCGACATGAGTCATACTAAAACATACTAAAACTATCTACAAAGGTCTCCCTCTTTCCCCATTGCCATCTGTCCAGTTCAGCTAGGCCAAAAACTACCAAGGTGTGCCACGCGTTTCTTTGGGAATATGGGACCTTTGATTTCTGCTCTCGCTGACTCACTGGACAAGCACGGATCGCTGACTCATCCTCTCGCCCTCTCGCCCAGCGTCAAAGAGGAGGGCGGCAGCTTGGATAAGGCCCATTCCAGGCTCCGAGTGTACTGCCGACCCAGCGGCTGGTCTTGGAGACCTTCTGCAAGCACCCAGCCTTCGGAAGTCCGGTCGCCCCGCCCAGCAGCATGACCAATCCGCCTGGTTCCTCCCAGAAAGCCACAGTCGACATCCCCCAAAACAGACTCTATAGCAAAGACTGCCCTAATCATCGATGTTCGGAAGCAAAGGGTGCAGCTTCGACCTCCACGGCCAAGCTGGACCAGATTCAACTCCACCCGCAGTTCCGCCGTTCATCCCCGGCCTCCTTCCGTATCACCCAGTGCGAACCAAAAACTCCCCAAAAGATGGGCGGCCACTAAGACCATTAAGGCGGCTTCAACCAATGGCCAAAGCAAGCTGTGCTGTCGAATGGAACCTGTCCCGCCATGGAGGGACTGAAGCTTCTCCACAATCTTCGAGAACCTGAAACATCAGGCCCGAAAGTCAGGGAAGGACCCAAATTGGATCGATTTTGTGTGAACAAAGAATATGGCTGGGAAATCCGTTTTCATTTCAACAAAACGTCGGTACATCAAGTCTCTGCTGAATCATACATGTTTCTATCATGTCATGAACTAGCCCGACGACAGCCTTTCATGACGCTTCTGCTGCAGGATGCATACACACACATACATACATACATACATACAT